ACGGACATTTGCGGGACCCGACGGACATTGGCGGACTCGTCGACATTGGTCGACATTAGCGGTCATTGGTGGACCTTTTGCACAGCAACAATACATTTGAGAAATTTTTCGACAACTTCTATATATTATAAATTGTTACAAAAACAAACGAATTATTCCTCACACTAAAGCTATGGATAGCTTTAACTTATTATATCAATTTTATAGGGACCCAGGAAAAGGACCCAGGAGGAGGAGGAGGAGGATGGGGAGAGGAGGACTGGAGCAGGAGATGTAGAGGACTGATGAGGAAGGTGCTGCTAGGTTGCTGGGATGGTTCAGATGGGTGGAGGTGGTGGACTGAGGACTTATCACCTTACAGCTCGGTTGGCAGGAGGAAGAGACTGGGGAGGATCAGGTAAGGACCCAGGAGGAGGGACCAGTAGGAGCGAGGAGGAGGACTGAGGGAGGATGACTCAGGGGAGGAGGAATCAAGGAGGAGGACTGAGGAGGACTGAGAAGGAGGAGGACTGAAGAGTACTGAGGAGGATGGCTAAAGGAGGATGGACTGAGGAGGATGACTGAGGAGGATGACTGAGGAGTGGACTGAGTGGGAGGAGGACAGGGGATTAGGAAGACACAGGAGGAGAGGAGGAGGAGACCAGAAGGATGACCTAGGAGGGGCTGCTGTGGAGGAGGAGAACTGAGGAGGTGGATCAGGAGGAGGAGACTCAGGAGGAGGGAGGACTCGAGGAGGAGGACTGGAAGGAGGACTGAGAGGCGGCGGGACTGAGGAAGATGGGTGAGAGGATGGTGATGAGGATGAATGAGCGGGAGGAGGAGGAGGAAGAGGAGGAAGAGGACTGGGAGGAGGAGGAGGAGAAAAGGACTGGGAGGAGAAGAGGACCCGCGGAGGTGGGAGGACCCAGAGGAGGAAGACCAGGGGAGGGACCAGGAAAGGCCCCAGGAGGAGGAGGAAGGGACTGGGGAGGGAGGAGGACTGTTGAGGTCGGAGGAGAGTAGAAGGAGGATGAGGGGAGGGTGAGGAGGAAGAGGGGACTGGGGAGGATCAGGGAAGACCAGGAGGAGGACCCAGGAGGAGGAGGAGAGAGGACACCCAGGGGAGGAGGAGGACTGAGGAGGAGCCTGGACGAAGAATGGAAGGAGGAGGATGAGGAGTACTGAGGAGGATGGCTGTGGAGGATGGCTGAGGAGGATGGCTGAGGAGGAGACTGAGAGGGAGGAGGAGGAGGACTCGGGGGAGACTCAGAGGAAGAGGAGGAGGAGGAACAGGAGTAGGGACTTAGGAGAAATGAGGTGGGAGGTGAGTATGGTGAGGAGGTTGGCTGAGGAGGATGGCTGAGTGAGGTGACTGAGAGGGCGGAGGAGGAGTGATCAGGAGGGACTCAGAGGAAGAGGAGGAGAGGAGGAGGACTCAGGAGGGAAGATGTAGGAGAAGTGAGGAGGGAATGAGGATCAGTGGGTGACTGAATAGGAGGAGAGAGAAGTAGGGGGACTGGGAGTGGTACCTGAGGAGGAGGAGGAATGATGAGAAGGATGAGGAGGAGGACTGAGGAGGAGACTGAGGACGAGAGAAGAGGAGGAGGATGAAAGAAGAGGAGGAGGACCCAGGAGGAGGAGGACTGAGGAGGAGGGCCTGAGGAGGGATGGACTGAGGAGAGGAGTAGGATGAGGAGAATGAATTGGAGGAGGAGGGGGGGGACTGGGGGAGGATGAGGAGGAGGATGGGGGGACTGAGGAGAAGGATGAGGAGGAGACTGAGGACGGACTGAAAGGGTGGGACTGAGGAGGAAGAGGAGGAGGATGAAGAGGAGGAAGAGGACACAGGAGGAGGACCCGGAGGAGGACTCAGGAGAAGGAGGAGAACTGGGGAGGAGGAGGATGTTGAGGAATGATGAGGAGGATGAGGGACGAGGAGTGGTGTAGGAGGAGGATGAGGCGGGGAGGAGGAAGAGGGACTGGAGGAAAGATCTGGATAGACCCAGGGAGGAGGAGGAGGAAGAGTAGGAGTAGGAAGCATCTAAATGTTATTTCCATTTTTGTCGGTTTTGTCCATTTTGTCGTCTTTGTCCGCTCTATTTTTTGTCCGTTTTGAAAATATAGGTACCGACGGACTAAAAAATGATACCCTATACAGCAAATTTAAATTTTAGTTAGCATTTTAGGTTGTCCATTAATGTCCAGTCTTTGTCCGTTTCTATGTCCGCCTAGGTCCGCCTATGTCCGTCTATGTCCGCCTAGTCGCCTATGTCCGCCTGCCTATGTCCGCATATGTCCGCCTCCTTGTCCGCCTATGTCCTGTCCTTTATGGATCTGAGACAAGCGGACATAGACGGACGTGACACCCCCCCCCCCCCCCCCCCTCCCACCCCCCCCCCCCCCCCACCCCCATTTTTATCGCTGTTGATGCCGTCTCGACTACAAAAGATTGTGCATATCTGAAAATTGTGGGTATGGGAGTTAAAAATCATAATCAAATTATTGCAATTTTAACGGAATTGAATTGGTGCGGCAACAGAAGTGTCACTGTATACTTTGAACTTTTGAAGCTTCTAGAACTATAAATTGAAATTAAATTATTAGAGTGTACAACTTACTCTCAACAAGCATTTTTCGAATGAGCTTTTCCAAAGATCGGTCGATTATATTATAATAAAGTGAGTTCCAGTCAATTGGCCGGCAATTGACCACCCTTAAGTGGTCTCAACTTCAATGGTTACGACCGTCAAACAAACTTAACTAGGAATGTGATAAAATAAGTGACACTTAAAGTTATCGTATATAATGCCACAGAGGTGGGTGCATTATTATATATCAATTGTCTCTAAAGACTAAATCTCTGTTCGAACACAAGGATACATTTTAGAGTATGAAAATAATGGCACTGTACATTTCTGTTGGAGGTTTGTTTATTATCCCCACACTTGTTGATGTGCCCGGTACACCCTTGTTATTCGCTGCTTCTGGACTGGTTATTTATTAATACACTGTACTATTGAAATACTCTCTGTGCTTGAAACAAAATCCTTATTACGGATAACCTATTTGGTTCAATAAATGAACTTTAAGCCAGAAATGAATATTAATGGGAGTAATAACATCATAAAATTGTAACGCAGTTCTGTAAGCCGATATAGATGAAGTGAATAATAATGACACCTCATACAATTCATGGCCGTCTACTGCATACATTAACAACTATTCCAACTACTCTTCCACATCATGCCGCCTAAAGGCTTTCTTTGTGTTTGTATTGTAAGGCAGACGATAAACATTATTTCTCAAACGTGACATCAATTACACTTGTTACCTGATCGGTTAGCAGCTGCCTCGTGTCAAAACAGTTCCCCTTGGACTATAGACAAGTCTATGGTAATGATGATCAAAATATAACTTTATCATGATCTTTTATTATAGAATTTCTATCAATATTTGGAGGTTTTGTACAAATGCTCGACTAATAATAAGCGAAATAGAAACATTTGTAAACTTTTTAGCACAGTCTATTATTTCAAATTATATACTTTATATTAGGACGCAATGAAACTACCGAGTACCGGACCACGATGTATGGGGACTTGCCACCCCATGGCAACATTAAAATATATCGACTCTGTTACATCGTTTCCTGTTAATATAAAGCTCCGTTACAAATTGAAATGGGATCTTGCAATACTAGTACACCTTAATTCATTAAAAAATGATAAATTAATGTATAACTAGACTTAAGTAAAAGTCTGAAAGAATATAATATGTAGAAAACAATATATATATATCATATGTATATATGATATGATATAATTCGAACAATTGAAACAAATCAAATTGGCGGGCAAACGATCCGTTTCATGATATGTATAAAAACAATACCAATCATCAGTGCCAAATAGAATAATGAATTGTAGCGCTATGACATGTTGCTCCTTTATAAAATAATTTGTATCGATCATGAAACATTTTCAAAATTATCAAAATTTACAAAATTTCCAAAAAAACAGTTTATTGTGTCCGTCCCAATTTTAAAATTGTCTATGAAGTAAGGTAGTAAGATATCTTTGGCTTTTAAAGTTGTAAACTGCGTTGGCCTTCGTGTAGTGGTAGAATTTTCCTCTATGATGATTGGTATTGTTTTTATACATATCATGAAACGGATCGTTTGCCCGCCAATTTGATTTGTTTCAATTGTTCGAATTATAATGCTCCTGCTTAACTGCAGTCGAGCACTCTCTTTGGGAAACCAAACAACAACTATTTATTAGTTATGCTCCTTCGACTCGTCGTTGTTGAGCACTCTCGTTTGATAACCAGAATCAACAATTAACTCTCAAATACGGATCCTAATTCTACCAGCTTCACGGAACTCAGTAAAGAATTTTCCTCTACCACTACACGAAGGCCAACGCAGTTTACAACTTTAAAAGCCAAAGATATCTTACTACCTTACTTCATAGACAATTTTAAAATTGGGACGGACACAATAAACTGTTTTTTTGGAAATTTTGTAAATTTTGATAATTTTGAAAATGTTTCATGATCGATAAAAATTATTTTATAAAGGAGCAACATGTCATAGCGCTACAATTCATTATTCTATTTGGCACTGATGATTGGTATTGTTTTTATACATATCATGAAACGGATCGTTTGCCCGCCAATTTGATTTGTTTCAATTGTTCGAATTATAATGCTCCTGCTTAACTGCAGTCGAGCACTCTCTTTGGGAAACCAAACAACAACTATTTATTATGATATGATATATATATATATTATTCCGCACACTTAAGAACCGCTCCCAAATGGTCCTGGCACTTGTTTCAGTTGCCATCCATATGAGTGGTATTACAAGAATATCATTTCATTAAACCATAACCACAGGTGTCATAACGAGAGTGGATGATAAATCAGTATGATTCTCTTAGGTTACCCAACCTGAACCTAAACCATTCTCCTGGATCTTAGATGTTTTGAAACATTTTGAAACATTTTAAATATTTTCACAGGTGTCACAACGAGAGTGGATGCTGCGGATGAACCAGCGGAACTCCAGCGCAGAGAAGGTGTCCCATCACGTGACCAATAGTAACGACATGTTGTTACCCAGCAGTAACTTTATGATGAGGACCCAGATTATGAGTCCTACTCTCAACCGAGATACTGATCCTGCTTACAACTTTGATGTTGAGGTGAGGAATAATCTGCGTTTTTGGAATAGTTTCGGATGTTTTTTAGAGTGTGTTACATATTTTTAGCACTATGTGTGTTGTAATTTATAGGCTTTTAGGTCCAATAGAATGCGATTATGAAGTCGCAGGCATTGTCAATACCTAACGCAGCAAGAAAAATGAAATGGATGATCTAAAAGGTCGAATTTTTAAAGAACAATTTACAGCAACACAAGAAATGTTAACATAGTTATTAGTTATATCACAAATTAATACATATTCAACAACAGATATACACAACGTAACAGCTTTTAAAAGAAAACAAAGGAAGATGTATCCAATAACTTGTTTTTATTTTTAATATTTGTAGTGTGTCCTCGAGGGTCTCAGGTCACACTGATAAAACCATGCAAAATTCAAGAAAAGTTTCAAAATAGAGCCGCACGCACTTAATACTTTAATATTATAGAACAAAATTTAGACAAAATCGAAATCAACGAACTGTTGTTATACTATCAATTGATAAAGAAATTGCCCCTATTTACTGAACGCTTGATAAATCAGTATGATTTTCTTAGCTTATACCAATACTTATTACCCAACTTGAACCATTCTCATGGATCTTAGATGTTTTGAAACATTTCAAAAAATTTTCAAAAAAATCTAGTAAATCGGGGCCCAACTTCATAACATGCACAGAATATGATACAGTAACAAGATTAACAATAAATAGTCAGTCTATAGCACACTGCACATATTAATTATAAACTGTTGATTAATTATGTTAATTAATTATTGGTTAGTATGTAATATCAACATATTTTTATCTCCCGGTCACCACAATTGCCGATCACAGCTTGGCAAATAGCGCAAATTTAATCGATATCAACACAAAGTTTTACCATGCATCAAATATTCTAAATTCCGACTAATTTTACCGGGTCACGTCTTTAGAAGCAATAAGACATTCTTTAGAAACAATATATCAACTCAATGAACATTCTGATTTTCCATATTTAAAAAAACATAACTTTAATTAAAAAAAACGGATGTCTTGATTAAAAGTTCTCGGAGCTTTTCTCCTCAAGCTTAGTCTTGTTAAGAGTTCCGTTTCTGTTGTTGAGAGTCAAATTGTAGGTCAACATAACAGTGGTGCTGGTATCAGGCCCAACTCTACTTAATTTCCGGGTACTATACGTCTGAATAAAACCCTTAGTTACCAACAAATGTGTAAAATCTCTTATCTCCTGATTCAAAAACACGATAATCAACGGGTTAAACATAGACGTGAAACTTGGCACGCACACAAACGACAAATAAACATATCCATATTTAGCTAGATTAGTCTTGGATAATATAAAGTTGATAGTTGACATGCAGTAGGGGATGTTCATCAGCAGGATGATCCAACAGCTTCTAGTTCTCGTATCCTTGACTCGTCTCTTGGAGAAGATCCTGCCCATGGTCAGCAGTGAAGCTACAATGCCCAGGATGCACTGGGCGATGTTTAACCAGTAACAACAGTCCACCGTCAGGATTATTATCCCCCGTACTTTGGGGGTCAGTTCCAGGAACTGACAGAGAGCAAACCCGAAGTTGTTGATGGCCATGATGCAGGTGTAGACGGCTATGTAGGTGAGGAATGCCCACTGGGGCAGCCGGATGAAGGGGCTGAAGATGGAGATCATCCGGACGATGGCTAGCACAGAGGTTGTTACTTGGGAGAGACAGCCGAATGTGCACATTATTAGACTGGGAACTGCGTAGAACCTGGGGGGAGTACGGGGTTAGGTGTTGCTTAGTGGGCATTTTATAGGTTCGTCCTGTAATCCACTACATACAAGACAGAGATTACTACAACATCCTACCATGGTAACATTATTATCATGATTATATTACGGTAGCGAACATTGGAGATCAATTGATAACTGAAATGAACGTCATATCGGTAAAATGCCTATGAAATATCTATTTTATCAAGCAGAACATCATCGTATAATAAGGAACATTAACAATAATATCTTATATCTTATATCTTTATATAAACTCTGAAATATTACCTGAATGTGTAATCAATGGTCTGATCGTAGTTTGTGTTAACCCCAAAGTTAACGTTAGGAGACACACAAAAGTAGAGAATGTGTAGGACAGGGTAGCTGTTTGTACAGAAGTCAGAGACTGACAGCAGCATGAACAGCTTTCTGCTGAGTTTCTGGGACTTGTTCTTGCTGAGGGGTGGTTGGTCATTAGTTAATTAGCTAATTAATTAGTTAATTAATTAATTAGTTAATTAATTAATTAATTGTTAGGTTACTTCTTAGGTTAAATTAGTGTCTTAGTTTATCGGATGATTGGTTGGTTGGTTAAGCATGTTAAGATGATGGGTGAATTTAACTTAATTGTAAAGTAATGGATTAGAAATTAATTAGTTGAATCAGAACAGAGTAGGACGCGTCTTGTTGTTTGTTATCAAACTTTAATCGTTATATCTTGACAAATATTTAAAGTATTTGGCACATTAGGCTATTCTAGTATTCTACTATATGACACGTAAATAAGTAACGTTTCTTACGACAAATATTTAGATTATTTAATAATATATGCTTGTCACGTGGATATTTTTAATGTTTTACTTGTGCTCAAGAGAAACTGGGAAGAATTGCAGTAAAATATATTTTCAATAATTTAATAACTCGATGAAGTATTTAAGTTACATTAAGTTATTTAATAGTAGATTTGGTTATTAATTGGACTGTTAGATAAGTGAAATATTTAATTTAATCAAATAAGTTAATGATTTAATTTAATTAATTAAGTTAACAAAGTCAAAGTACTTACTTGTAGTAAAGTAGGATGACAGGGTTAAGGAAGCTGGAAACAAAGAACCCGCTGAAGAGTAAGAGAATAACAAATAAGTTGACAGCCCGGAGCTGTTCCTCCGAGAGGTCTGTCATCCATCTTATCATCGCACCTAACTGCTAATTTAGTTGGATTAGTTAGGTAATTTATAAATGTTGATCAATTATCTCAGTTAAATAGTTAGTTAATTTATAAATAGTTTGTAATTAATTATTTTGTCTTATAGTGGGGTATTCAGTTTTCTGTGACTGGGGCAATGCTGGTCGACTCATCTGAACAATGTAATGAGGGGGCTAAAAAGATAAAAAGAGAAGTAACTAATTACCTACAAGTCCTATAAATATATTCTAGAAGTATTTGTTGTTATTTATAAAAGTAGCTATCAGAATTTTAGATTAAGTGATCTTCATTTCAAAGCATCATAAAACAATACATGTACATAATCAAAAATGACATAATCTCGTGGCTAGAAATTGCAACAGCAACCACAACAAACTCCGCACATATCAACGAAAAACAACGACAGATAGTAAATAGATAAATATATGATATATAGGAATAATTATTAATGCTGACAAATCGGCGATCCGGGTACCATGCGCCAAACTCCTACAGTGGGGTGACATATGTTTTCGTCACTTCTGATAATGACAATACAAACAGCGTTAAACTAACAATTTTCATTGAACCATAACTCCGCTTCCGGACCACCGATTTACAAAATTCAAAAATGGGTGTTTAGAGAAAATTCTGAACTTTTCTCGGACAGTAGAAATTAAGTTCATTCGTGCTTCAGAAGAGACTGGCAGGCCCATAAATAAGGGGTTTGATCACGATAATGATACTATTTATGAAGGAGCACATGTTTTAATAGCAAGCGACGAACTTTTCTCTACTTCAATATTACCATGAAGTTTAAAACGGAATATCTCTGTACTGCATCGTTCGATTTCGATAAAATTGATAAGGTAACAAGACCAAATGTTTCTCAGCTGATTAAAATAATTACTGTTAGAGTTGTTAATCTTCAGCCTGAGATATCATAAGTTTTCCATGCTAAGTTGGATATTGTGAACACTTCCCTATTCCTCAATTTTTAGTGGTGTCATAGATATTACATCGCCACAAAATTTACTACAGATACGCTAAAGGGTCTGGGCCTTGTACTAGAAAAATTCTCCAGACTCGTGATTACACTCACTGCTAACAATATCACGTGACGTGCACGCAAACTCGCGCGCTAAAATGCGCGCATTCAGAAGTGACGAAAACATATGTCATCCCACTGTACAACTGAGATTGGCATCTTACACTTCTTTACTGTCTGATAGTGGAGATTTCTAGTCTGGATCTACCGGATCAATCCTACATATTGATTATAATAGTTACTACATATATTATATATTATTATATTTACACTGGTTCTCTGGATGATATGTTTAGTTGTGATAGAAGTGGTAGTTGTCCGGTGGTACGATTAGCAGTGGGAGTATTCTGGGTTTCTCAGTCTCCCGGAAATGATGGAATAGTGATTTAACTTCTGTGTTGAAGACGGGCACGGTGAAGAAGCGCATGCTTCAGTGCAGGTAATAGTTATTGATACTAAACTTGGTCTGGAAGCGGCTTGTGCCTGGTGCTTAAAACGAGCTGTGTGTGGAGACACATGAGGGTAGTTCAATCAGATCAAACGTATTCAGAATGATGCAAGATCCGTTGCACAGTGTGTTGTATATTGCCAGATTCATTGGGAAAAGATTAAAACATTATTCGCTGTAGTTAGTCCTGATCAGAAAGACAAAAATGCATCAAGCGACGCTTTACATTTTTATGATAGAATGACTACAAACTCATTGCGTCGTAGTACACAAGATGAGAAAAGAACGATCACGTCCGATATTACAGCCCGGTCGAGAGTTTAATATTGGATATATCCAAATCAAATTAATAAATAAAAGGCGCAGTCCTGTTATTAATAGGAACTGTGAAGTGTGAACATTATACTATCTGTCACTTGGCTTATCGATATACGAATACCGTTATATTGGTAAACTTATCGGCACAGAGGTTAGTAAGCATAAAGCCAGGGAGACATCAAAGAGGCTAAGTACTCCGTATAACATACTAATAACTTAATAATATTCATAATACGCTAAATTTCGACAGCAGAAGAAACCCCATTGGTGGGCGTCAAATCAGTAGTTGTAAAACGAAAGGTATTCTAAAATATAGGCGATAAATAAACACAATCTACCCTCCCAGCCACTCGGCTAGTGCGATAATTGCAAACATTTAGCTCAATGGAACTTTACTTGAAGTGAGGATTGTAAAGTTTCCGTGCGGGCCATCTTGTCTTAATACAATGTTCTCCTTTACTTCCCTTCATGACACGTGCACACCACGTGGTGTACCACGTGGTGTATCACGTGATAGCACGTGGTGTCACGGCTCGCGCGCGGGTCACATGAGGCGTGCTATCTATCTTGGTATGGTTTTACGTGTTATGTAATACGTCAGTGCGTAGTAGCTACGGAGCTGTGGAACTAGATAAAAGAAGCGTAAACAATTGAAGCTTATATCAAGATGTTCCCGTGCATATTGTTTACATAATTATACGGACTAATTGAATAATACTTATAGCGAATATTTCTGTATAACAGTTAAGTTTTTTATTAGAACATTAAGGAATTTGACGAATGAACGGGTAAAGTTATGTGTTTGTGTTCTCTAAGACCCAAGAGATACCCCATGATGCTCAATGAAAGTCGAGACAAGCATAATACTAAGAAACATTTACATATGCTTATAAGAAAGTACTTTAAAGAGTATAAACAGCTAATAAACGATAAACTATCAAAGTTAATCACGTGTAAAATTGTTTGCAAATCAGCGGAAACGTGCCAAGTAATTGGGGTCATGCTAGTGTGACTCAACCAACGAATGACGCAATGAACAGTAATATGAGGCTAGATTTAGGGCTTCATTTACTCTTAAATGCCTTAAATGGTAAAGTAATTTCTCGTCCAAATGGCAACGTAACAAGGAAATGTAATTAGAAATTCACCAAATATTCGGGAGCAGGTCAAACACTTTACGACGTAACAAACTGGTTATGAAATAACAAACTGGTTATGACGTTAATGGTCGCCTCAAATCTATACATATGCAAACAATACAGGCGGCAAAATCGACGTATACCCTCAAATCTAGATTTACAGAACAATTAGGGCTCATGGAAGTAGACAAAAACTATGCTAAAAGTAGACTATTTCTGTCCCAAAACTGAAGCCCCTTCTTTAGTAGTTGACACAAAAAGATCTTCTTACTTCAGTCTAGTTTAGCTCTGTGGAGTGTGATCCATTTTACGTCGAAAGAGAACTCAGCAATAATTTGAATTCCAGGAGAGAACTATTCCAGGCCAACATGTCTACAGTGTCGACATGTCGGAGAGCTTCCAAGTTGATGGGAACATATTTCTAGAATAACTTGAAGCCCTCGCATTACGACCAAATATAAACAACTAAACATGTTAACTTTGCATTGCCTAATTTTCACGATATTTCGAGTAATTGCACAAGGAAATATTATATTTGACGGTGACAGCAGGCTCTGACTAATGCTACAATTTTCGGCAAACACTTAACCAACTCCAAACATTCACCCCAGACATTGATAGTAATCCAGCAAATAAAACAACTCCATAACTCTACTTAATACAAGATACTAACTTATATTAATGTCACTATTATATAACAACACAAAGTATTATTACAGAACCCCTCCAACCACGGGAACTGACCATGATGGCATCACGATTACATGACAAAACAGGGCGCGCATCTCGCCCACGTGGTATATCACGTGGGCGCGCTGATAGTGGGAACAGGAACTATAGCACAGGGAGTTATAGGTTTAGTGTAGTACAGCTGAGACTTGCTGGTACCTGGCACAGGGTGGGTCGGAATAATAAGACAGATAAGACAGATAAGACAGATAAGACAGTTGTAAACCATTACTCATGTATTAGTAGTGGATTACTCATGTTCACAAACCACAGCCCTGGGGTGTGATTGTAGCTGGAGTTCTATGGGAAAGTGCGATAGCATCAGGATGCAATATAAGCTTCCTAGTACTAAGTACAATATCAAGATACGTCTGGGAACTATAACGTGATCTGCTTCATACCCCTTAGATCAAACTGTTGTATCTTGGTACGAGCTAGATATTATCAGATAACTGATCAGCTGGTACCAACGATCCAGCCCACTGTTCAGACCTAGTTCTCTACACCTTCCCTGCTCTGTCACCCAACTTCACTGTTCCAGGGAGGCCGTGCAAGTTATCACGCAAGAACTTGGTAGGAAGTTGGGTGATATCGGTGAGCTGTGATTTGGTGAAGTGGTGTTGTAAGGTGATCTCCTAGGCTGGTGCTTCACTGGTATTTTATCAGCTCTAATTATTGTGGGTGTCCTAAATCATTTTCAAGTGGTGGTCACTGGTTCATACCAACCCTGGATCCATCCTATATATTTTACATAATGCTCCTGCTTGTTTGTAGTTGAACACTCTTTGGGAAACCAAGCAACAACTAATTATTAATATATAATATATATAAATAGTATATATAATACATGAGCAAGAGGGAGGTGGTCTTAAACAATTGCTTTCTCATCATATGTGTTATGTTATTTGCAATTAGATGATATCACAAGCGATCAGGTGATATTGTCATCAATCAGATGATCTTATCAGCAAAATCAGCTGTTTTGATGTCGTTGATGTCTTTCCCTATAACGAAATAGCAATTTGAAATTATGGTTCTGGTGAACCCGGAAATTCGCAGCTTAGTGGAAATTGTCAAGCATATTTAGACCTCTTACTTTAAACTGAATAATGGATTTAGCCACAATGTGACTCCTCTGACTATCTTTTCAAGTTAAGGGGGGGGGGGGGGGGGGCCAATGGATATTTTTTTGTGAAACTTGATTTCGAGATAGCAGTTGACCAACAAAGTTAGACCAGTGACCGAACTTTTGAGGGGGTCCCGGACCCCAACCGCCAAACGGTGCCCGCGGGGCAGCCACGCCCATATTTGGTCCAAATTAGGCCCAATTTAGC